AGCATTTGATCGCCAGCGGGAACATAAGCGCATTCGAATAGACGCTCCAGTTTCTACAACTGATTTGTATGAACAATACATCTCTACTGACCGGCTTCATAACGAAGAGGCAGGTTGCAATGAGGCTATTGCGTACTGGCTATCTCGCTACGACTCCCAACGAGATCTCGCTCGCTTCGCTCTAGACATGTTTGCGATCTCGCCTATGTCGGATGAATGCGAACGTCTTTTTAGTAGCGCGAAGCTTACTATCGTCGATCGCCGTGGTAGGCTGAAGGCAGATATTATAGAAGCGTGCGAGTGTCTCCGGGCCTGGTATGGAAAGCCCCAAGCTGAGGGGAACAGCGATATCGAGGATAGTGAGAACGAAGACGACTAGATTGACAGTCAGTAGTAAAACACATTTCCTCGGCTTCCTTCTTTGCTTCAGCCTCATTCTTGGCGGTCTTGTTGGTCGGACCGGTCTGGTCGGACCGGTCCTTATGTAAGCACCTGGTCTGGTCTGGTCTGTACCCTCAGACCAGACCAGACCAGACCATTCCGATCACTGGTGATGGGTGCGCAGGTGCTGGCGTAGGCGGCGATGGTGGCGGCGGTGATGGCGGCGATGGTGGCGGCGATGATGGCGGCGGCAATGGCGGCGATGATGGCGGCAGTTCAATATCAACATCCAGGGCGTCGGGTTTAGTTAGTTGATTTAGGTTCTTCTTTGGTCTTCCTCTGGCTTTCCGTGGGATGAGCTCATTAGATGTGCCCATTGGACCTGATTTGACTCTCAAGTTCAGGTCTATCTTTCCCCCTGGCACCTTCTCATTAGTTTGGATGACGCTAACTCTATGCGTATATCCAAGGTCAGGAGAGTAGACTTTGAACTGCTTGTCTGTAGTTTCAGAATATCCCATAAAGACGCCTGCTCGACCACGGTGCACTAACTTGTCTAATCTCCCTTTCGCTGGCAGCGTCTTTGGATTGAGATAGGTGTAACACTTGCTCCCCCAGACTCGTACGTGGTCTACGCCTGGGCGTTTCCCTGAGAATACCTGCTCTGGAGACGTGGGTTTTCCCTCGACCAGCGGTCCTGTTGGCAGTCTATTGCGGATGTAGGCGTCAGCCTCAGCGGCCTCGTCCCAGAACTCAATAGGAAGTTGTGCATCATCGAGCATTGCCCTCATTGCGTGTTCGGCAGTCTGGATGCTTCGCTCCACTGGTCCATTTTGATTCGAGCTCGCAATTACGGTGTAGTCGGCCTGAACCCCGTCTTCAGTTTCCCACTGGTTTATCACAAGCTTTAGTTCTGGCGCATTGTCTGATCTGCAGGCCTTCACCTTCTTCCCAGTCTGGAGCTCTACCTTTGCCTTCCATCTGCGTAGCTCTAGGATAGCCTGGTCCTTGGTTTTCAGTGGTATCGACCAGTTCTTTCGGGAGTGGTTGCAGATTATTTGCATAAGGTAGTTATTTCCGCGGAGTGATGTAGGGAACGGTCCAGCTAAGTCAAGAGATACTAGTGCTAGTACCTCCTTTTTGTGTTCTGCTAGGATTTTGTTCATCTTATTCCTCATCTTGCCTTTAAGGCATGGGTCACAGAAGCGCCTGTGGGCTGGGGGTACTTTAATCTTTTCAATTGTCGTTACCTTATACAGGTTTCGTAGCATTGCTGGGCCGTAGTGAGCAAACCGTCTGTGCATTAGCCTGTAGTTCCGGCGATCTTTCTTCGTGGACTTGTCTTCTTCGGATTCGTCTGGGTCCTGGTCGGATTGTGTCTCGGGTTGTGTCTCCTGACTTTCCTCCGCAGTGCTTTGATCGTTGCTGTCGGTCCGAGTCTTGCCTGCAATAAACGCCTTTCCTGAGTACTTGCTTGCAATGTGGCTTACGATGTACAGACCGTCCTTCTGTGCTGCTTGTACTGCGATTCTTGATTTGTCCTTAAAATACATGTTCTTGTCATCAAAAATGCCTTGAAGTCCCTCCCTACACAACCGTCTTGCTGCGATTAGATTCACGCCGAGCTTAGGTACGTAGAGAACCTTTCGGAGTAATCCTGTTGTCCCATCCAGTGCCTTCATCATAACAGTACCACGTTGGGTAGAATGAAGAAATCCTCCCCCAACCTGGATAGTGGTGAGCGGCGTGCGCTTTAGCGGTCCTCTAAACAGGTTTCTCTTGTCAGTCATGTGTGATGAAGCACCAGTATCAGCAATCCAGTTCGCCGGTGTGCTTTTACTAGCTTGTTCCGCAGAGATATGGCAGTGTTGCGTACATTCTGTTTCCACGGATGTAGACTCGTGGCTGGTCTCGCTGTCCGTGCCTGAGGAGCCATTGTCCGTTCCAGAGTCAGAATCCTGATTCTTGGCTGCGTACCCATGCTTGCGCCTCGAGGTTGTCTTGACTGTAGGCTTGACAGGTTTGTCAGATCGCTTCTTGTTCTCATTTCTAGAAGGTCTCTTCGACTTGGCTGCGCGTCTCTCAGCTCTTTCGTCTTTCTCTCGAAGTTTTCTTCCGAATTCCTGAATTTCACCCTTGTATTTGCAGTCTCGGGCCCAGTGTTCTCCCTTACAATGGAGGCATCCTGTGGATGGGCCTAATTCAGGCGATGTAGAACGGGGGCGGTCGCGCATCGAGGAGTCCGAGCTTCTATGGTCATTCGGGTGACGGTACTTCGGGAATGCTACATTTGCATGCTCAGCCGTGTCGTTCAGTCGCAGCTCCTTCGTGCGGAGTGCAGCAATCTTTTCGTCAACCGTGAGAGAGGTCTGGACATCGAGATAGTCGATTACTGATCCGTAGCTTTCTGGAAGAGCGCGTAGCATGATCTGGAGAAGTGCCTCATCATTGTAGAGTCCCTTGGCAGCAGGCTTAGCTGCAATAATCTTGCGGCGGTATTCTTTTAGCTTTGCCCACGTGTAGTCGACATCCTTCTCGTCTTTCCAGGTGAAGTTCTGAAGCTTGGTCATGATGTTGTTGGCTGTCAACTGATCAGTCTTTGAGTACTTGACCTTCAGTGCGGTCCAGAGGGCAGATGCAGTCTCGTACTCGTCTGCGAGAGCGTCGTCATCATCAAGGAGACTGTTTGTGATGTAGAACAGTGCCTTAGCCTCATCCTTGTCGTATTCCTTTGCCTTTTCAGCGTTCCATGTACCTCCCAGTCGTTCGAAGTCGCTTGTCAGGCCTAGGACGCTTGCTTGTTCTGTAGGGTTGACAGTGCCGGCCGGGTCTTGAGAGGTGTTGGCAGTTGATGTGGAGGTGCCAGCTCCATGTCGTGCAATCCAGGCGTACGCGTGCTTCGTGACTTCGATAGTGTAGAAGATTCCCTTTCCCTTCAGCTTCAGTTTGTTATTGCGGAACCATTTCTCGTGATTCTCCTTCGTCAGCTTTGGGATCTTAGGCTCCTTATCGTATCTGTCGTCGCTGCCCATCTTCGCGGTTGTGCTTTTGACTGTCTGTGACGCGTCAAATGCCGTAGTTGTGTGTGGTTTCGAGGTGTAGGGGGTGTTTAGTGGGTTTGTAAACGTTTTGGCGTCTGCGCCCTTCAGCTTTCTCTAGCTGGAACCGTATGCTCGTTTTCGGTGTGTGAGAAGCTCGTCTCGTCTTCCGTGTGCGAGAAGCCCGTCTCGTCTTTCGTATGCGAGAAGCTCGTCTCGTCTTCCGTGTGCGAGAAGCCCGTCTCGTCTTTCGTATGCGAGAAGCCCGTCTCGTCTTTCGTATGCGAGAAGCTCGTCTCGTCTTCCGTGTGCGAGAAGCCCGTCTCGTCTTTCGTATGCGAGAAGCTCGTCTCGTCTTCCGTGTGCGAGAAGCTCGTCTCGTCTTCCGTGTGCGAGAAGCTCGTCTCGACTTTCGTGGCTTCAGATCACCTTGATCTGGTGGGTCGCCGAACCGTAGAGCACCGAGCAACCGGGCTCATAACCTATTGAGAAGCTGGCACTATTAGTAGTAGTATGACTACCTAATAGAGCGCTCTCTAAGGCACAACGGTAGTGGTGGTACGACTCGTATTGTATTGACTAAGGAGCTATTCACACGTTCGTAGATCCGTGTTGCGTGCAGCTGCGTCCAAGCTCCCCGCTAGGACCCACCTGCACGTGTCACCAATCATGTGACTACTCCTCCGCTTGATACCACCAAGTCACTTACGGACTGTATTCTCAACAATAGAGATAAAACCCACCTCTTTCTGCAGGAGCACCTTCTTCATTGGCTCGAGGCCATAAGCCTTATGAAAGAATCGAGCAGATGCGTTGACTTACTCGACAGCCTTCAGGCACTTGCCAGCGTAAGATCCTTATAAAATACTTTCCTACTACTCTGCTAACGTGCAACCACAGTCCGCAACAATCAATTAAGTGGGTCCTAGAAGGTTCAGATTGGATTGATTGATTACCGCTTTAAGCCTAGTAGTTACCTATAGGAGTTTAAGCCCTACCTAGATAGGTAAGTGGGTCTAGGAGAGTGACCGGATTGAATTGATTGTTGCGGAGTCTACGTGCAACGCAGGTATCTGCAGACTTAGTTTCAGCCTTTCTTTACGACGCTAAGCGGTTTATGCTGCGGTTTCAATCTGTGCTCGCAGATGCGCCGCTGCAGATCTATTGCTCCGCGCTTGTGTTCGCACCCGAGAGGAGCCTAATACGAGAAACTTTTGAGGACCAAGTGCTAGAGAAGGTTGAGATGCTGTCTATGAGAGAAGCAGACTGGGACGCATGCCGCAGCACGCTCGAGGGCCATTCCTGGTATGTCGACGCGGTGGCCTTCTCGCCAGACGGGCAGCTGGTTGCGTCCACAGTCCGCAACAATCAATTAAGTGGGTCCTAGAAGGTTCAGATTGGATTGATTGATTACCGCTTTAAGCCTAGTAGTTACCTATAGGAGTTTAAGCCCTACCTAGATAGGTAAGTGGGTCTAGGAGAGTGACCGGATTGAATTGATTGTTGCGGAGTCTAGTTGCGTCGGCATCTATCGACAAGACAGTACGGCTGTGGGAGACGGCGACAGGCACGTGTCGCAACATGCTCGAGGGTCATTCCTACCCTATCTATTCAGTGGCCTTTTCACTAGATGGGCAGCTGGTCGCGTCGGCATCTCACGACGAGACAGTGCGGCTGTGGGAGGCAGGGACGAGGAAGTGGCACAGCACGCTTAAGGGCCATTCCTCCTCTGTTACGGCAGTGGCCTTCTCGCCAGACGGGCAGCTAGTCGCGTCGGCATTTATCGACAAGATAGTACGGCTGTGGGAGGCGGCGACAAGGACGTGTCGCAGCACGCTAGAGGGCTACTCATTGTATGTTAACACGGTGGCCTTCTCGCCAGACGGACAGCTAGTCGCGTCGGCATCTTACGACAAGATAGTACGGCTGTGGGAGGCAGCGACAGAAACGTGTCGCAGCACGCTTAAGGGCCGCTCTAACATAGTTAGGGCAGTGGCCTTCTCGCTAGACGGGCAGCTGGTCGCGTCGGCATCTGTTGACAAGACAGTACGGCTGTGGGAAGCGGGGACGGGGACGTGTCGCAGCACACTCGAAGGCCATTCCTTAGAGGCAGACTTGTCATTAAGCAAATCAAACAAACTTTGGACGCTGATTTGATTTGTTTGTACAAAACTTAAGATTGTATTTGAGTTGTTTAGTTTGATAGTGTTTTAGGAGGCCGTTTGTTTGAAAGTTTGATATTATTATTATTATTATTATTATATTTCCATTAGAGTCCTGTATCAGTCGGTGACTATGTAGGACTTTGGCTAAGCCGTTCTATGTATGATGGTCGTTGTGGAGTTTCTATGGGTCTTGTACAATTTGGGTGGTGTTTTGCGTACTCCAATTTCAGAGCTAGTCTTCCATTGGCGCGGGTGCTAAAGAGCAGTGTGGTGAATAGAAAGAGATGTAGCAGCGGGCTCTTTTAGATAAGGAAATATTGTTTTTGTAGTTTTATACAGTGTCTGTCTGTTCGGTGGTTTGCCCAAGGTGCCATTTTCTCGTGCCAATCCTAGTACTTGCAATAAAGGCTAGAGTAGCTTTGATGCCTGTCTTTGTTTGGAGGAGGAGTGGGAGGGTGATGGGTCTGTGTGGTATTGCTTCTTTGAGTGTATTTCGATGTGTTTTGTACTGTTTGCAATCTAGAAGTAGATGCTGTGGTGTTTGTGGTTTGTAGCATATACATAGATTGCAGTCTCTCTTGTTGAATCTCTTAAGGTAGGAGTTGAAGTATCCATGTCCTAGCTTGAGTGAGTAGAACGCGCTCGAGATTTCTCTTGGTGTTCCCTTCGGGACTTTGATTGTTGTATGTGTGTTGAGCTTGAAGATCCTTGAGTAGGAGCTTCTGTTTTTGGTGGGCCTGTCGGTATACCTCTTGTACTCCATCAGTTGTTCTGTTTTTTGTATTTTGTTGATTTCTGTGCCTAAGTAGGCTAGGCTCGCTGTGGTCGATGTTGTTGGTCTCTCTTTAGCTGCTTCCTTTGCTAGCGTGTCGGCTTTTTCGTTGCCCTTGACGTCGTTATGTCCTGGGGCCCACTGCAGGTGGATCGATGCTTTCTTTGTCGTTATTCTCTTTGCAGCTCTGATGCATCTTAGTAGCCACTGTTGTCCCGGGTTGTCCGATAGGTTGTTAAGCCTATGGATTGCTGCTTGGTTGTCTGCGTATACGTAGATCTCTTGGCCTTCTTGTGCCACTGTAGCCGCGTGTTCAAATGCCTGTGCTATCCCCTCTAGTTCACCGTTGTAGACTAGTTGGGAGCATCCAATGTTTGTCTTTTGAGAAAAGGTTTCTTCGTGGGTGGAGCTGTACGCTACTACACCTACGCCGATCCCTATTCCCTTGTCGTGTTGTGAGGCATCTGAGTAGATTGCGGTGAAGTTATCTCCGCTCCTTGATAGGATATAATCCGTGTGTGCAATTGCCTCTTCCTCTTTGCTCTTTTTTGATACAGTAACCTTGTAGTTAAGACTTTCCCATGGTCTGAACCTATATGGGATTATCTTTTCTACGCTATTGTTGTCTCTCTCTGGGATTGACTTAACAATAGTGTATAGTTGTCTATGCTGGTTTGGCTTTTTGTAGCTAGCTTTGTCTGTATTTGTGATCCTTGTAATTGCTTTCTGGATTGGGTGGTTGCTGGATAGCTGGTGTGCTCTAGACGCATACTTTCGGTTGTTGGTGTTGAGTCTAATTGCAGGTGACGTAAGTCCGGATTCAATGCTTGTTGGTAGGGATGGTGACGTTCTAAACACTCCAATTATCTTTCTACACGCCAGGTTGTGCAGTGATTGTAGGAGGCTAGTGGCGTAGCTTTGGTTCTTCCAGTATATTTGTGATCCGTAGTCTGCAACGCTTGTGACGCATGCTAGGTATAGTTGTCGTACTGCTTTTGGGGAGAGTCCTCTTTCGATGTTGGCTAGTCTCCCTAGTCTATAGAATGCTTTCCTTGCTTGGCTTACGCGTGTAGCAATATGTTCCTTGAAGGACAGTCTATTGTCTATGTGGATACCTAGCCATTTGATTGTGTCTTTCGGTTCTACAATGGTGTTGTCTGGAAGCTGTAGGCTTCTCTCTTTTCTCTCTTTCTTGGCGGTAAAGTGGATGAGCTCTGTCTTAGCTATATCGAACATAATCGCTAAGTTTTTCCCTCGGTGAGATAGTAGGCGGACTTGCTGTTCTAGTATTTTGACATTTTTCTTTAGCGATGTTGAGGATGTCGATAGAGATAGGTCGTCAATATAGGATAGGTTGAAGCTTTGTAGTCCTGGGAAGAGGTCTCTGGTGTAGATAAGAAAGAAGATTGGAGACACTGGGCTGCCTTGAGGTATCCCAGCTATTATCTCGGAGAATTCTTGTGTCTTATTGTCGAAGGAGAGTCTTAGCGATCTGTTTGAGAAGAAGGATTTTGTCCAAGCGATAAGACTAATTGGAAGGCCTAGCTTCTTAAGCGTTCGCAGGAATTGATTGTGTGAGACGTGGTCAAATGCTCCCTTTACGTCTAGGAAGATAGTTGATGTTATTTGGCCTTTCTGTTTCTGGTGCTGAATTTGGTCGATGAGTAGCATAGCTGCATCTATTGCAGATTTCTTGAGTCTACCCCCAATTTGGGTTGGGTGTAGTAGCTCTGTGATTTCTGCTAGATTGCTCAGCCTACTTGCGGTGATCCTCTCGTTAATCTTTCCTAAACAGCTTAATAGAGTGATAACTCTGTAGGCTTTTGGGATTGAATAGTCTGGTTTTGATGCCTTTTTAAGAACAGCTCCTGTAGCTTGTTTCCAGCATTTTGGGTGGTATCCATAGTTGAATAGGAGTGAGAAAGCTCTAAACATTGTTTGCGGTTGAGCTTTGTACGCGGCTGTGATTATGTCTTGTGTTATTGCATCTGGTCCTGGGGTGCTACTTTTGACTTGACTTGAGCATGCTCGTTCTAGTTCAGTCGTGGATAGTGCTGGCCAATCCCATCTCTTTTCCTGGTAGTTGGTGAAAGTTTGATAGATTTGATACTGTTTAGGTGCTGATCTAATCGTATATCGTATATATTACTAAGCTTCGCTGTCCCACTTGCATATTTCGTATATTGCAGCTACCTCAGCGTCAGTTACATCGCCTGAGTTGTAATCAGATGGAGGCTTAAAGCCAGCGTCGCGCCAGCTTCGTATACACTGTATTGCTGCAAGCAGTTGTGACCCAATTTTGCGTCGCCTTGGCTCTAATAAATCACCGAGCTCGCTGAACAGCCGCTCGCACTCACAACTTGAGGCTGGTATTGTTAATATATCGATCGCCATACGCGCTAGGTTAGGATACTTTGGGCGTAGGCTTATCCAATAGCTAACAGGATTACTACCTTGTTCGAACTGCTCCTGCGTCCAGCGGAGTTCAAACCGTCGCCAACGCTCCAGCTCATCCATCTCTGTCACCTCAACAATGCCATAAGGCTCCGCATTAACGAGCGCGTTGATGGCGTCGTTGATACCACTTGAGAGCCGCACTGGTGGGCGACTTTGGCGCTGTATTTGCGGCTTATAGAACGCCCAAAGTTGTTTCAACCCAGCGTTGTTTGCCTCAAGCCAGCTCGGTTTGTCGCGCCAGCTGTTCTCACAGTAGTTCTTGTAGTATGGGTGGAGGCAGGTAGCGGCAAAGTATGCGGGTGATTCGTCGAGCTTAGTGTAATACGCGTTAAGCTTTGCCCAAGCTGCGCGTAGGTTGATAGGAAGGTGATCTTCTGGCGCGCTATTGGCATTATAGTCGACGCTTTCGTGGTTTTTAAGTAGCTGCTCGTACACGGCAAGTACAGCTTCGAAGACAGGTATAACCTCGTATATCGCGCCGAAACGGCCAGCTTTACCGCGAGCTTCAAGCCGTTTTGTCGCCTCCTTTAGCGGCTCCAACACTGATATATACTGGGTTATTACCGCCCAATCGTCAGCCGTAAGCCCATTAGATCTCATCCAAGCTGGTACTTTAGTGAGCTTATTGTTACGGCTACGCGCGTACGCGTCGGCGCCCATCGTCCTTTCGATGTGGCTTTGGGCGTACTCATCAACGGCGTTATGGAGTTTTGCGGCGCGTACAAAGGTGTCGTGAAAGCTGTTCCAGCGCGTGACGACTGGCTTTACCGGCTCGAGTATTTCCTGCTTTTGGTCGGGAGCCTTAGCGTTAACACGGCGCTGGCAATCGGCAAAAAGATCGTGTTGTTGCGGTGTTTGGATGTAGTTGATGATATCGATTAGTACACCAAGCGGACCTTGCTGCCGCCATTCTTGTAGGTAGGCTGCCTCTGTTTTGTGCTCGTCCTGATCATTATCGTACGCGTCCTTATCAAAGCCGAAGATAATCATCTGTCCGACTAAGTTAAGTGTGTGAGGGCCGCAGCGGAGGCGGTGATGGCTTGCTGTAAATTCAAAGCGTTGGGCGAGTTTGGTGACGGCGGTGTCATTAGCGTACGCGTTGTCGAGCACAAAGTACCCAAGCTGGCTACGTGTTATACCGAAGACATCGATTATATTGCCAACAACTTCAGCTATCCTCTCGCCCGTGTGGGCGCCCGTAAGCTGAGGCAGCGCGATAGGTAGGTCCCTGATAGTGCCGTCGGCGTCAGCAAAATGAGCAACAACTCCAAAGAAGCCGCGCTTGCCGCCTTTTGTCGTCCAGCCATCGAAGCTTATATGGATTTTACTAATAGCCGACGAGAGCATCTGAACAACCTGCGGCTCCATATAGCGATACAGCCTCATCACGAAGCTAGCTACACTGTTGTGACTTACCCACAGCGCGTCAGCTGCCTCCGGGTTGGCAAACTCTATCATCTGCCTAAACGCAGGCGTTTCGAACTCGCGGAGAGGGTGGTTATTGTCGACAAGCCACGTAACAGCGGCGTATCGAAAGCGCTGTACGTCGAAGTTTCCGAGCTCGTTAGCGACGCCTTGAGGTACATCGACACCGCCCTCGGTCATCATCTTAAGCGTCGTTTGGCCTCGCGGTAGTGTAATCGAATCCAGTTTGCCCTTGCGATCGTAGCCGTGGCCAAGTAGCTTCTGCGCGAGGTGGTTGATAGCGTTACTGGTCGACTTTGTAACCTCTGGATAGGCGCAAAAGATCTTACGATGATGGCAGTATTTGCAAACAAAGAACGTACGATGAGGCTCACGGAGAGAGGCAACGCGGTAACCGTACTGATATACCCAACTTTTGTTGCGCTTCAACGTACGCAGCGGCTTCGTAAAACGCGGTAAACGCTTCCAATCAATGCCGTCAAAGTTGTCCGTAAACTCGTCATCAAAGCCAGTATCATCCCCGCCTTCGATAGCCTCACTTGTAGCCTCCGTAGCAGCCCTACTACCCTCGGCCGGCGGTTGTATAGTAGCTTCTGGTATAGCGTCGCGCAACTGCGACTCGAACGGCGCGTCTTCGGTGGCCTGGCTTGCTGCAGCAGCTAGGGCTTTACGTGGCGAGGTGCGGATAGACAGCTCAGGCTGCGAATCGTCCATCAGGATAGGCTGCGATGCACTGCCTTTAGCTGTTTTGGCGCGCTTGTGGGGGCCGTGGGGGCCGGGGGTGCCCTCGGCGGCGCGTTTTAGGTTACGAAGCGGCATTTTCGGCGTGTTGGGCAACGAGAAACACTAAAACGTGCTGTAGAGACGGTAGTGTAGCTGCAAAAGATGGCTAACAGCGATATAGAAGATGGGAGATGGGATATAAGATAGCGGTCATCGACGGCTAGCGACGCTCGTGTAGTTATATGATGACTAAGCTAGATGCAACACAAGAAAACTATCGCGAAATTGCTACCTCCGCTATCTCAAAAACATCATTAAAGTCGATCTTAAAGCACCTTAGGACATCATCTATAGAACAGCTCGCTATGTAATATTAGTCAAACAGTCAAACAAACTAAACAAATTTCGATCGTACGTTTGATTTGTTTGTATATTTCTATAGGCAGCGTTTGGTTTGTTTAATTTGCTTATAGTCAAGCAAATCAAACAAACTATTCAAACGCGTTTGCTTAATGACAAGTCTGCTTAGAGGTCTACGCGGTGTCCTTCTCGCCAGACGGGCAGCTAGTCGCGTCGGCATCTATCGACAAAACAGTACGGCTGTGGGAGGTGGCGACAGCAGACTCCGCAACAATCAATCGATCGACATGATTGATTCCTATATAGGTTAAAGAGTTACTTTATTAGGCAGCCTTTAACCTAGATAGGAATCAATCATGCCGATCCGATTGATTGTTGCGGAGTCTGGGCGACAGGCACGTGTCGCAGCACGCTCAGAAGCCCTTCTAGGTACATCACTTATATCAATTTCTCACCAAATAGCTAGGTAATTCTTACGAGCCAAGACGATATTCCTTTGTCTCAAACCCCTGTTGTCACATCGCTTTCGAGGCCGCAGCCGCAGTCCTTCTCTGTTCTAGTGCAGGATTAGTGGATATTGCGCAACCAGCAACGCGCCCTGTGGCTTCCGCTAGAGTATCGATTAGGGTTAATCGCCGTACGCGGAAACATAGCTTGTCTAGGGCTTGTATCTAGTCGTATGGTTCTGCTTAGAATTTCCTAGCGTCGTGTATTAATAAGGCTGGGTCTTTTAAGCATGATGTAGACGCTCACCTAATCTAGCTGATATTAAGCATAGCCACATCTGCTGACAGTAATCCACTGCTAAGAATGTTATGTAATCTTTAATACCGGGTGCCCAGTCCGTGCGGGTCACGATTTCTCTTGCTCGCTAAAGTGTCAGGTACCGACTAGGGTCGTGTCAGATTGTGATGGGTTATCAAAGACGGGGATAAATTGTATTATTCTGGTCTGATCTCGTGTCGTGTTGTGTTGTAGCTGATCCAACGCAGTTGGATCAGTTGGATCGCGGTGGATCGTGCGCGCTGACTAATTTAACTGATCCACAGAGTCCGAGTGCTCCGAACACCCGGATTTTGTCCACCACCCAAAATATGCCCATATTCTGACAGTGTCCCTCTCCGCAACATCTAAGCCAAACTAATAAGTGTCAGGCCTACGCAATGCGAGGTGTACAATATATACTATTCTACCACGATGATCAGGAGTTCACTGATCATACGTACCTTTTTGGTTGCATAGCGTAGTGGGCGTAGACCTACGTTCTGACAATAAGCATAATATATAGTATCTGTTGAGAAGATGTAAGGTTCAGTCCAGGTCGGCGGGGATGAGGCTCGTGGAAGTAAGCCCGAGCAGAAGGACCGACGCGGAATGATGATCTGTCATGTAAATCCCCAGATCATCATGATAATAAGAAGACAGAACAACAGCTCTTAGTGTAGTTCAATCCAATACGTGGTGACCTAACATACCTCTACTCGGTTCCCTATGGTAGTCATACCACCAGAGGAGACCTTGTTCCAATAGGTTATGAGCCCGGTTGCCTAACCCAACGTTATTGGTTTTAAACACCTAACCAAGTCACGAAGGACTTAGATTCGAGAAGGAATCAAAAACACTCACCCAAGTCACGAAGGACTTAGATTCAAGCAGGAATCGGAAAAGAGAAAAAGTCGTGTACAACGCGGTTGACACGCAACCATACTTACACACACCGTCTCCACGCTCGAGAACCGATAACGACTGCACCACCCGCAGAACATCGCCCGCATCGCCCGCATCGCCCGCATCGCCCGCATCGCCCGCATCGCCCGAATCAACCGCATCACCCGCACAAGATGGCTGCAGAGAAGGAAGAATGGAAGATCCCCCAGCTCACAGCCGAAAACCACGATACTTGGTTTCGCCGAAACAAGGTCAAGCTTAAGGGGAAGAAAGTCTTCTATGTCTGCGAGAAAAATCTGGTACAGCACTGTCAAATAGCAACAGCTAGTAGACTAACGGAGGCTATGGAAGAGTTGGAAATTGCTGAAACAGACAAGCATACCAAGATCCGCGTCAACATTGAAAAAAGAGACAAGTACCTAGAAGATGAAGCCACTGCAATCGATCTCTTGTTTCGGTCGCTTAGCGAGGATGACCAAGCCCTCATTGACGAATACGATACTGCCTTCCAATTCTGGGCCTACCTACAAAAGAAGTACACCCAAACTGACGCCACAACTGCCAACATATACATGACTAGAATTCAAACGTTCACATTTAATCCCGGGAACACGATTGTTGGATCATGGGAGAAGCTAAAGGACTACCGACGTAAACTTGTAGCAGCAGACGCCGACACCAACGGAGCTTACAAGGACTCTGCACTACTACTCGTTCTTATCAGATCACTTCCGAAAGAATTCAAGACTACGATTGACACCTTAAACGCCCAACTTAACCTCACGGTTGAACAGAAACTTAAGTTTCTGGAAGAGAAGGAGGTTCGAGACCAGCAAGACGCCAACGAAAAAGCTCTTCCAGCATTCCGAAAGACGGAGAAGTATGTTCCGCCTTACAGGCGTCGAAATCATAAGAACTCGCCACTATCGTCTGACTCCGAATCTGGTGCCAAATTCACGGTCCAATGCTTCCTTTGTGATGGAGCCCATGGCGTACGAGACTGCCCAAGACGTGAGAGAGCTCGAAAGCTCCTTAAGGAATACGACGCTAAGAAATCATCTAAGCTGCTCGTTAAGACACCTAAGCAAAGGAATTCCCACAAAAGGACTGGCAAAGCATATGGAGCCGAAGAAGTCAATTCAGAGTCAGATGAATTATCTGAGACCTCAGACTCCGAACCCGAGGAAATTGAGACATGCCGTCTCTCAAAAGACATCGTCGGTAAGGCCTCTCCATCTACCTGGGCTGCCGACACTGGCGCATCCTCTCACATGTCTGACCAACCCTCATTATTTAGACGAATGATTAAGATCAAACGAAGAGTCGTTCGGGTTGGAGGGGGAGAATTATATGCGGACTGGAAAGGAGAAGCTCAAGTGGTGTGTAAGGATGGATCGTCGACATGGCTGTCAGAAGTACTGCTTGTACCTAACCTTGGAGTCAATTTGTTATCAGGAAGAAGAATTTGCGCAGCAAGCCTGAAGGGTCGTTTCAATTCACACGCACTATACTTCAAACTAGGAAAGAAGGTTATTATTGAAGCAACTATGGACGACGGCCTCTACGTAGTGTCACACATTGCCGATGGATACCAAGAAACAGCATTTCTAGGCACGGAACTCCATGCACCAGTTAAGAGCGAGCTTAAGGTTAATGAAAAGGAGAGATACTTGCTGTATCACAGACGCTTCGCACACCTAGGACCTGCAAAGATTGCTAAACTCCACGAAGTTACAACTCTCCAGAAGAAGATTCAAGTTCCAGAGAAGATAGAAATCTGCGAAGTGTGTTCTCTGACGAAAATGAAGAACAGCATCCCTAAGCAGCTGAGAGAGCATAAGGCCACGAAGCTAGCCTTAGTACAGTTTGACATTGCAGGACCCTTTCCAACATCTCTGCGAGGAAACAGGTGGTTCCTCCTTATTATTGACAGTTACACGCACAGATGTCAATGAGCAAGCTGAGCGAGCTCAGCCAATTGGCTTGCTCAGCCAATTGAGCGGAGGCCAGCAGCTCGCTCGGCTCGCTCGGATTGGCTGAAACAGGGCTGTCAGCTCGCTCGGCTTGATGGGCTCAGTCCCGATTAGGAAAGTTATATAGAAACCTTGGTGTTGAGTTTCTCAGCTAATATCCCACTTATGTACACCGTATTTCGCGTCCATCTCCTCATCGCTGATAGCCTCCTTTACAGGCACCTCACCACTGCCAAATCCAGCTCTTATCCATCGTCGATCGCACTGTATTGCTGCTAGAAGTTGCGGAGAAATGCTGCGCCGACGGGGCTCGAGGAGGTCACCCAGCTCGCTGAATAAGCGCTCACACTCACAGCTTGAGCCTGGGATTGATAGCATGTCGATAGCAAATTTGCTAAGGCTGGGGTAGCGATCGCGGAGTCCTACCCAGTATTTTATAGGGTCGACGCCCTCGCTAGCGATCGGTTCGCTGCGTTTCCAAGCCTCATATTCATCCTCCTCGTTCTCCGTAAGCCCTGCAGGCTCAATAAAGCTGTTGATAGCGTCGTCTATATCATTGTGCCTGACTTTGGGGCGTAAGCGCGGCTTCGGTAAGCTTTTGTACTCCGCCCACAAATGTTGAAACTTGCGGTTGCTGCTCTCTAGCCAATCAGGCTTATCCGCCCACGCTGCGTCAAGGTAGCTTTTGTAGCGAGGATGAAGGATTGTAGCAGCATAGTAAGCTGGCGAGAGGTCGAGCTTGTTGTAGTACTCGCGGGCTTTAACTAGGGCAGCGCGGAGGTTGATAGCAAGGTGGTCTTCGGGTGACTCTGTATGCTCATCGTGAATGACGTCTTCATAGCTTTGCAAGCGGTCCTCATAGACTCCAAGTAAGTATTCAAATACTGGAATAACCTCAGCGATTGCTCCAAAAGCACCGCTTTTGCCGCGGCCTTCAAGCCGTTTTGTAGCTTGTTTCAGTGGCCTGAGCACATCAATATACTCAGCAATCACCTGCCAGTCATGGGCATTGATCCCATCAGACCTCATCCAATCCGGCGCTGCAGGCAGCTTGTTGTTACGACTTCGGGCGTACGCGTCTTCAGTTTCAATCTTCTGAATATGGTAGTTGGCGTACCCATTAACCGCTAATTGCAACTCAACAGCGCGCTCAAAACACGAAACGTAAGAGTTCCAGCGAGTAACAACTGGCTTGACGGGCTCCTTGATTTTGTGCTGTTCTGTTGGCGCGTTGACAGGCTGGTCCCTAATAGCGAGCTTCTGATACTTCTCAAAAAGAGCGTACTGTTGTGGTGTTTTGATGTAGTTGATAACCGCGAGAAGCACTCCCAATGGTCCATCGCCTCGCCAAGTAGCCATGTTCTCAGCTTCGTTCACGCGCTCAGTCTCCTCGTTGTCGTAGGACTCTTTCTCCTCACCCCAGAGTAGCATCTGGCCAATGAGATTAAGCGTATGAGGACCGCAGCGAAGGCGACGCTCGGTAGCGCTGAAGCCCATCTGCAAGGCGAGAGTGTTGATCGTGGTGTTGTTGTTATGTGCGTTGTCGAGGACGAAGTAACCGAGCTTGCCCACAGTGATTTCGAACTGCTTGAATATTGCCATCACGACCTCAGCCATGGCCTCGCCGGTGTGGGCACCTGTCAGTTGTGGGAGCGCAATAGGCAAGTCCCTGAGCTCGCCAGAGCTATCAACGTAGTGGGCGACGATACCTAAGTAACCGCGCTTGCCACCTTTTGTCGTCCATCCGTCAAAGCTTATATGGACTTTGCTCATTGATTCTGAAAGGCTTGCGACAACCTTTGGTAACAGGTAGTTGTACAGGCGTATAACGTATCGTGAGACGCTGTTATGAGATGCCCACAGGGCTCGTTCTGCCTCTACGCTAGCTAATTGTATCATATTGCGAAAAGACGATGATTCGAATTGTGAGAGTGGGAGGTTGTTTTCGACGAGCCAGGTGACGGCCGCAAGCCTAAACTCTTGTATATTGAAGTTGGTAAGCTCGTTGGCAACAGCCTGAGAGCAGCCCTTCTGAAGGGCGCGTTCGAGGAGAGTTTCTTTCCGAGGAGCGACGGTAGTGCGCTTACTTGGAGGCTTCAAGCCATGACCTTTCTTGTCTTCTCCGAGATGACGTGCTGGCGCTGATGGAGACTGCGAGACGTCATGTATGCCACGGCCAACAGTAGTGAACTTGTGCTTATAGCAATAGTGGCAGATCCACGTGACTTTTGCGACGTTGCTGCGCAAGGCGATGCGATAGCCATGGCTGTATACCCAGCTTGCTCGGTTCGAAAGTGATGTGGGCGGCTTGCAGTGCTTTGGGTAGCGACTCCAATTAAAGCCGTCGTATTTGTCCTCTACCCATACGAAACCCTCGTCGACAGCCTCGCTAGCTGCTCCTGAAGCTGCAACAGTGGCATGCTCGCTGCCCTCAGGTGGTGGGATGATTGTCTCTTCGGCGCGCGACTCTCGGAGGGTCGCTTCAAAATTTGGTGCTTGTGGCGCGGCGACGAGAGCTTGACGCGGCGACAGCGGTGGAGGAGGTGGAGATGGTGAGAATGGCCGAGTATCGACTAGCACAGGTTGGCTGGCAGTCCCGCGATGACGCGCTGCGACTCTAGGGCGCTTCGAAAGTTGTCGCGATTTCTAGAGCATTAACGCGTGTTCTTTTTGCTGGCATTATAGCAACGGCGAGGTAGATAATAGCTGCAAATAGAGACGCGTTGATGGAGTATAGGTGAGTGTGGTGGGGTGATAAGTAGTAAGTGAAGTGTCGCAGAAGGAGAATATTGTTGCCAGGCCGTTAGCCGGAAAATTTAGTAGCTTATTTGCTAGAAATATAGCAAAAAAAGAGTGTATTTTAGGTTATAACTAGGTTTCGAACTTACGCACTACACCTAAAAATCATCGTGAGATTGCCCCTCCACCAAGTCCTTCAGCCCCAAGTTTCCAACCGCCCCATCCAACCAAGCTAAGCAAGCTGACTGAGCGAGCGCCTATCCCTAAGCTCGCTCGGCTTGCAAGCGCGCACTGCGCGCTCAGCTCATTCGGCTTGGTCAAAACGTCCAAGCCGAGCGAGCTGAGCGAGCCGGCTCGCTCGTTGACAAGTATGGTTACACGCGAAAAAACTGGGTTATCCCGCTGAAGAAAAAGGGAGACGCACAAAGGGAACTCCAAATCTGGAAGACCTTTGTAGAACATCAAACTGGCGAAAAGGTTAAAGCTGCTGGAACTGACAACGCACCAGAACTTCTACAGCAAGCCGAGGAATGGAGAGTTACACAGGGCGTGGAAATTCAGCCTACAACAATTGCTTCCTCACACCAGAATGGACCAGCTGAGCGAAACATCCAAACCGCTGAAGCTGATATGAGAGCAATGCTGAAAGACGCTGGTTTACCAATTGAGTTTTGGGATGAAGCTGTCGAAGCAGACGCATACCTGCGAAACCGCACAAACACAGGACCCACGATCAATGGAAAGCAAGTCAGTCCTGAAGAGGCATTCACAGGAACGAAACCATCCATTGACCACATCCGTGTATGGGGGAGCAAATGCTATTCTTACATCAACCCCAAAACGATTCCAGCAGACCAACGACATGACAAGCTCGTGGACCGTGGCAGAGTTGGAGTATTCATGGGATATTCTGAGACAACAAACAAGCAGTTCAAGTTCTATTCGCCAGAGCTTGGATACACCTCAAGGACAAGCCGATTATCAGTGGACGAATACACCCCTGGAGGAAAAGTTGAACTACGACTGCGAAACATACCAGCTGGACCACAAGGGACGCAGAATACGATGCCAGACCGAAAACCAAGAGGAAGACCTAGGAAGGATCTGGAATCATCTCCTGCAGAACCAATGGAACCACCTCCTGCCAAATCAATGGAACTATCTCCTGCAGAACCAATAGAACCATCTCCTGTCGAACTAATGGAACCATCTCCTGTCGAACTAATGGAACCATCTCCTGTCGAACCAATGGAACCATCTCCTGCAGAAATAGTGGAGCCAGTTCCCGAGAACCCAATAGAACTGTCGTCGGCAGAGCTAACTCCCGAACCAGTTAAGCGTCACAGAGGAAGACCAGGGAAGCTAACGACTATTCCCCCTACTGCACCATCTGATGAGCGGGTTCCTAATCTTGTGGACGAAGAGGGACCCGAAGAACCGTATACCCAGTCTGTACGAGAAGAGGAGGCTCCACGATACTTCACCAGACAAGCCAAACGAAAGAGGTCTAACGAAGAGGTTGTTGAGGACGAGAGATTTAGCAAGATCGTTAAAGCTATGCTAGCCCAAGCTGGCCTTATAGAAGAGCAAACACGACTATCTGAGAAGGCTTTTGCAGCAACCGAGATCGCAGGAATCCAGATCCCCCAGACACACGAGCAAGCTATCAACGACCCAAAGTATGGAAAGCAATGGAAAGCAGCAATACTTGAAGAGATAATCGCGTTAATGGAGAATCGAACCTGGGAGGAAGTTCCAAAGCCAAAAGACGCGAACATGGTTGATTCAAAGTGGGTTTTTACAGTCAAAACAAATCTCGACGGGACTGTTGAGAGGTTTAAGGCACGCCTTGTGGCAAGAGGTTTTACGCAAGTACACGGAACAGACTACAACGAGACTTTCGCCCCGACAGTTCGCATGGACACCTTACGTCTGTTTATGGCCACTGTCGCAGCGGAAAACCTAGAATGTTTTCACTTTGACATCAAGAATGCTTTCACAGAGTCGCATTTGAAGGAAGAGATCTTTCTTAAGCAACCCCAGGGAGTAGAAGTTAAGAAAGGATACGTCCTTAAAGTTCTCCGCAGCCTATATGGACTCAAACAAGCTGCTCGTGACTGGAACTTGTTAATAAAGAAAGAACTTCTGGCATGGGGATTCGTGCAAAGCCTTGCCGACCCGTGCATGTTTATCCACGAAGAAAAACAACTCCGTATCCTCGTCTACGTTGACGACATTGCTGTTGCCGCAAAAGATCGAGCTCAAATTGATTGGTTCTACAAGAAGCTTTCTGGAAGATTCAACACCAAGAACCTAGGGGAGATTCATAAGATCCTTGGAGTACGAGTTACGCGAGACAGAAAGCGCCGCACAATCTACCTCGATCAAGAACAGTACATACACGCAGTACTTGACAAGTTTGGAATGTCTAGCAAACAACACAGAGACAAGAAGATTCCATCCGCAGATTACACGTCATTTAGGCCAGCCACTAACAACGACACCCGAATCGACATCACTGAATACCAGCAAGTGATAGGGAGCCTTATGTTTGCTATGGTTCTTACACGCCCAGACATTGCATTCACCCTCGGAAAGCTAAGCCAATACATGAGCGATCCAGCAGAACATCATGGCCATGCGTTGAAGAACCTGCTACGATATCTAAGGTCGACAGTAACAATGAAGCTACGCTACGGACCAGGGGGAGTACACTCGCAATTTGTCATCTACTCTGATGCTGACTGGGCAAGCGACATGGTAGACCGAAAGAGCGTTTCAGGGAGCACTGCAATGTTCTACGGAGGTCCAATATCATGGTCTAGCAAGAAGCAACGGTCTGTTGCAACGTCAAGCTGCGAATCTGAATACATCGCACTATCAACATGCTGTAAGCAAGGCCAGTGGATTGCTCAAATGTTCAGAGATCTTGGGTTCCCAAAGTACATTGGAAAAGACACCAACAAGGTCCAGATGCTAGGAGATAACCAGGGTGCCATTGCACTTACAAAGAACCCTCACCTTCACGAAAGATCAAAGCACATCGACGTCTGTTATCATTTTATCAGAGACCTAGCAGAACAAGGTAAACTCGACGTGGCCTACGTGCCAACTGTAGATATGGTGGCTGATGGAATGACAAAGCCGTTGCAGCGAGTCGCATTCGAGAAATTCAAGAACCAATTAGGAGTTGTCCTTAGACCGGACCTGCCCTGAGGGGGAGTGTTGAGAAGATGTAAGGTTCAGTCCAGGTCGGCGGGGATGAGGCTCGTGGAAGTAAGCCCGAGCAGAAGGACCGACGCGGAATGATGATCTGTCATGTAAATCCCCAGATCATCATGATAATAAGAAGACAGAACAACAGCTCTTAGTGTAGTTCAATCCAATACGTGGTGACCTAACATACCTCTACTCGGTTCCCTATGGTAGTCATACCACCAGAGGAGACCTTGTTCCAATAGTATCTGCACTATAATTTAATTTCCCTACATCTTAAACGGCGAGGATAATACACCACTTAGTATGTCTTTGTTAGACTCTCGTACTCTGATCTAGAGTGTCACGGTAACCACCCTGATTCCCCTAACACCTGAACGATGACCGCTTAGGTGCTTAGCTAAGCACCTGCCCAGCACCTGTTTGATAAGCTAGGAGCAGCCGAAGGCTGGCGCTAGGCGCACAGGCCCTGTTCAAATATGTTTACTGCTACTAAGTTCTCGTATTTACTGCTTACCACCGAGTTCTCGTATTTACTGCTTACTACCGAGTTCTCGTATTTACTGCTTACCACCGAGTTCTCGTATTTACTGCTTACCACTAAGTTCTCCGGCATTGCCGAAAGCTAAGAAAGCTAAATTAAGATTAGATATAGATCGTCTAAAGTTTAGCTAGTTTATATCTAGTAGTTCGTCGCGATTTCTTTGGATAACTTTCGCAAGGGGACTGCGGGGTAAGTCTGTGGCTTGTACAGTGAGGTACCTTAGAAAAGCAGACCTCTCTTTACCAGCTTCCACCCCGCCCTGCAACTACGATAGCATTATACCTGGCAGTCTCGATGTCAGAACGTAGGTCTACGCCCACTACGCTATGCAACCAAAAAGGTACGTATGATCAGTGAACTCCTGATCATCGTGGTAGAATAGTATATATTGTACACCTCGCATTGCGTATGCCTGACAGTTGCTCTGTGCGTCTCACGCACGTGACCGAGATATCATCGAGGATTTAACCACTAGGCTCTAGCCTATCATACTAGTCCCTTCTATCAACCGCTTATTACCTAGAGACTAATAGTTAGACAGAGAGAGCGAACTTCTTTATAGAATAGTACCTACAAAGCTAGATCTCCTATCTACAAGATAACTAGGCGAGATAGCTACTGCTAGCTGAGTTTGCGGTAAATAATGCCTACAACGAGAGTACCTGCGCGACACTATTCTTCGTAAACTACGGCTTCTACCCCCACCTAGGATCTAAGCCTATGAAGCCTAGCTGGCAGCCTGCCGCAAGAGACGCTAAAGATCTAGCCTTAAAGATAAAAACTGTCTACAAATACCTGCGTGCAGAGATCTGTGTAGCGTAGGCTTAGCATAGAAAGTATGCTAACAGGAAAGGCCAGCCTGCCCGCCGCTTCTTCGAGAATACCTAGTCTGGTTAGACGCCCGGAATATTAAGACAGCCTACCCGCAGAAGAAAGTAGAGTAGAAGTTCCTAGGCCCGTACAAGGTTACTAAAGTCGTTAGCCCGTACGCTTACCGCCTAGAGTTACCTGCTTCGATAAAGATTTACCCTGTGTTCTATGTCGGCCTGCTCCGCCCTGCCGCCACTAACCCGTTACCTAGACAGCGACAAGACCCACCTCCCCCTGTAGAAGTTGAGGGAGTAGAGGAGTAGAAGGTCGAAGATATCCTGGACTCCCGCTAGGACCGCCGCGGCCGAGGAGGCCGGCCCCGACTGAAGTATATAGTAAAGTGGGCTAGGTACGATAAACTAATAGAGGTCCCAGCCGACTATGTCGAGAACTCTTAGGAGATTATCAAGAACTTCTACCGCTATTATCTAGGCAAGCCTAGGTAACTGCTTTGACAGAGCTCCGCCTAGAGAGGGTGTCAGCCCTCAGGGGGTGTGTCAACTAGAATGTTCTACTATCGTCACAGCTACGTAACACACTGCTGATCTGGAATGCTCCAGATACTCTACTTGTTGCGGTTTGTGAGGCAAGGGTATTGCGCACGTCACGTGCGTTGTCCTGGCGCTCCTCCCTCCCCTCCATGAGCACAGTCCGCAACAATCAATTAAGTGGGTCCTAGAAGGTTCAGATTGGATTGATTGATTACCGCTTTAAGCCTAGTAGTTACCTATAGGAGTTTAAGCCCTACCTAGATAGGTAAGTGGGTCTAGGAGAGTGACCGGATTGAATTGATTGTTGCGGAGTCTACAACGGGGTAGCAGGCGCTAGGCCGAGATAGGGATAGGGGCACGTGACCTACAGAGCGCCGAGTTGTTGCCGTGACACCTACTCTCGGTTGCCCTGCTGCACTGTCGTTGGCCGTCCTCGACGCTCAGAAGATGTTACAACTGCTCGAGCTGTTATCATGCCCATCATAAAACTAGTTTCGTTAAAGTTATAGGTGTCCTCGTCTACAATGCCGTACTTAGCTCAGACTCCGCAACAATCAATCGATTGACATGATTGATTCCTATATAGGTTAAAGAATTACTTCATTAGGCAGCCTTTAACCTAGATAGGAATCAATCATGCCGATCCGATTGATTGTTGCGGAGTCTGCTTATGCGCAACCACATTAACCACATCACTAAGCTAGAGTTTCTGCTAGCATTTAAGATAGCATTTAATAGAGCATTTACACTAGCTAACATCTGCTCAGCCTTCCGCGGCGTAGGCCTTGTTCCTCTACAACTAGAGGCTGTTCTATTAAAGCTAGATGTACAGCTGCGTACACCTACTCCTCTAGCAGCTCTGCTAGAGGCTCCCTGGGTAGCTCAAACGCCGAGCAACCACAGATGTCAATGAGCAAGCTGAGCGAGCTCAGCCAATTGGCTTGCTCAGCCAATTGAGCGGAGGCCAGCAGCTCGCTCGGCTCGCTCGGATTGGCTGAAACAGGGCTGTCAGCTCGCTCGGCTTGATGGGCTCAGTCCCGATTAGGAAAGTTATATAGAAACCTTGGTGTTGAGTTTCTCAGCTAATATCCCACTTATGTACACCGTATTTCGCGTCCATCTCCTCATCGCTGATAGCCTCCTTTACAGGCACCTCACCACTGCCAAATCCAGCTCTTATCCATCGTCGATCGCACTGTATTGCTGCTAGAAGTTGCGGAGAAATGCTGCGCCGACGGGGCTCGAGGAGGTCACCCAGCTCGCTGAATAAGCGCTCACACTCACAGCTTGAGCCTGGGATTGATAGCATGTCGATAGCAAATTTGCTAAGGCTGGGGTAGCGATCGCGGAGTCCTACCCAGTATTTTATAGGGTCGACGCCCTCGCTAGCGATCGGTTCGCTGCGTTTCCAAGCCTCATATTCATCCTCCTCGTTCTCCGTAAGCCCTGCAGGCTCAATAAAGCTGTTGATAGCGTCGTCTATATCATTGTGCCTGACTTTGGGGCGTAAGCGCGGCTTCGGTAAGCTTTTGTACTCCGCCCACAAATGTTGAAACTTGCGGTTGCTGCTCTCTAGCCAATCAGGCTTATCCGCCCACGCTGCGTCAAGGTAGCTTTTGTAGCGAGGATGAAGGATTGTAGCAGCATAGTAAGCTGGCGAGAGGTCGAGCTTGTTGTAGTACTCGCGGGCTTTAACTAGGGCAGCGCGGAGGTTGATAGCAAGGTGGTCTTCGGGTGACTCTGTATGCTCATCGTGAATGACGTCTTCATAGCTTTGCAAGCGGTCCTCATAGACTCCAAGTAAGTATTCAAATACTGGAATAACCTCAGCGATTGCTCCAAAAGCACCGCTTTTGCCGCGGCCTTCAAGCCGTTTTGTAGCTTGTTTCAGTGGCCTGAGCACATCAATATACTCAGCAATCACCTGCCAGTCATGGGCATTGATCCCATCAGACCTCATCCAATCCGGCGCTGCAGGCAGCTTGTTGTTACGACTTCGGGCGTACGCGTCTTCAGTTTCAATCTTCTGAATATGGTAGTTGGCGTACCCATTAACCGCTAATTGCAACTCAACAGCGCGCTCAAAACACGAAACGTAAGAGTTCCAGCGAGTAACAACTGGCTTGACGGGCTCCTTGATTTTGTGCTGTTCTGTTGGCGCGTTGACAGGCTGGTCCCTAATAGCGAGCTTCTGATACTTCTCAAAAAGAGCGTACTGTTGTGGTGTTTTGATGTAGTTGATAACCGCGAGAAGCACTCCTAATGGTCCATCGCCTCGCCAAGTAGCCATGTTCTCAGCTTCGTTCACGCGCTCAGTCTCCTCGTTGTCGTAGGACTCTTTCTCCTCACCCCAGAGTAGCATCTGGCCAATGAGATTAAGCGTATGAGGACCGCAGCGAAGGCGACGCTCAGTAGCGCTGAAGCCCATCTGCAAGGCGAGAGTGTTGATCGTGGTGTTGTTGTTATGTGCGTTGTCGAGGACGAAGTAACCGAGCTTGCCCACAGTGATTTCGAACTGCTTGAATATTGCCATCACGACCTCAGCCATAGCCTCGCCGGTGTGGGCACCTGTCAGTTGTGGGAGCGCAATAGGCAAGTCCCTGAGCTCGCCAGAGCTATCAACGTAGTGGGCGACGATACCTAAGTAACCGCGCTTGCCACCTTTTGTCGTCCATCCGTCAAAGCTTATATGGACTTTGCTCATTGATTCTGAAAGGCTTGCGACAACCTTTAGTAACAGGTAGTTGTACAGGCGTATAACGTATCGTGAGACGCTGTTATAAGATGCCCACAGGGCTCGTTCTGCCTCTACGCTAGCTAATTGTATCATATTGCGAAAAGACGATGATTCGAATTGTGAGAGTGGGAGGTTGTTTTCGACGAGCCAGGTGACGGCCGCAAGCCTAAACTCTTGTATATTGAAGTTGGTAAGCTCGTTGGCAACAGCCTGAGAGCAGCCCTTCTGAAGGGCGCGTTCGAGGAGAGTTTCTTTCCGAGGAGCGACGGTAGTGCGCTTACTTGGAGGCTTCAAGCCATGACCTTTCTTGTCTTCTCCGAGATGACGTGCTGGCGCTGATGGAGACTGCGAGACGTCATGTATGCCACGGCCAACAGTAGTGAACTTGTGCTTATAGCAATAGTGGCAGATCCACGTGACTTTTGCGACGTTGCTGCGCAAGGCGATGCGATAGCCATGGCTGTATACCCAGCTTGCTCGGTTCGAAAGTGATGTGGGCGGCTTGCAGTGCTTTGGGTAGCGACTCCAATTAAAGCCGTCGTATTTGTCCTCTACCCATACGAAACCCTCGTCGACAGCCTCGCTAGCTGCTCCTGAAGCTGCAACAGTGGCATGCTCGCTGCCCTCAGGTGGTGGGATGATTGTCTCTTCGGCGCGCGACTCTCGGAGGGTCGCTTCAAAATTTGGTGCTTGTGGCGCGGCGACGAGAGCTTGACGCGGCGACAGCGGTGGAGGAGGTGGAGATGGTGAGAATGGCCGAGTATCGACTAGCACAGGTTGGCTGGCAGTCCCGCGATGACGCGCTGCGACTCTAGGGCGCTTCGAAGTTGTCGCGATTTCTAGAGCATTAACGCGTGTTCTTTTTGCTGGCATTATAGCAACGGCGAGGTAGATAATAGCTGCAAATAGAGACGCGTTGATGGAGTATAGGTGAGTGTGGTGGGTGATAAGTAGTAAGTGAAGTGTCGCAGAAGGAGAATATTGTTGCCAGGCCGTTAGCCGGAAATTTAGTAGCTTATTTGCTAGAAATATAGCAAAAAAGAGTGTATTTTAGGTTATAACTAGGTTTCGAACTTACGCACTACACCTAAAAATCATCGTGAGATTGCCCCTCCACCAAGTCCTTCAGCCCCAAGTTTCCAACCGCCCCATCCAACCAAGCTAAGCAAGCTGACTGAGCGAGCGCCTATCCCTAAGCTCGCTCGGCTTGCAAGCGCGCACTGCGCGCTCAGCTCATTCGGCTTGGTCAAAACGTCCAAGCCGAGCGAGCTGAGCGAGCCGGCTCGCTCGTTGACAAGTATGCGAGCAACGCGCGTGAGCTTGAGGCTTAGTTAAGCCTAATACGTGAGCGCGTGCGCCAGCACAAGAGCTCATCACCAGCTTCGATTATTAAGGCAATTAACTAGCTAAAGAAGGGCGCTGAGGTGATGATGCTCTCTGCTGAGCTAATGTGCGATCGGATCTCTAGTCTTAAGAAGGCTAACAGCGCAGCCTTAGCGCGTAGGCGGCGCTCTAAAAGGCGTATACAGAAGCATAGAGTACTCACAAAGGGAGCTAGGGAGGATATACTGGCTCAAAATGAGGCTGACCAGCAGATTGCTCATGAAGAGCGTCAAGGACGCCTGATCGCGCTCCTCCTTGACAAGGAGGAGCGCGATCAGGCGTCAGCCAGCGGGCTCAAAGGCGCTGCACCAGGTGCAAGGAGACCGGGCACAACTCGCGCACATGCAACGCTGATACTATTAATATAGAGTAGTCTACTATATTAATATCTAGCAATAATATTATCGCGTTGTTGAGATATATCGCTTTGAAGTTACAAAAGTTGGTGGGGTGCGGCGCTCGCTTGCCTGCGCTCGCTTGCCAACCATGTTATTTGGTTTTCGTCTAAAGGCTTTTGCACGTTGTTGCGTTGAGGCATCGCGTCTAAACGTCAAAAGGTATAGGTTTTGGTGGGGTCTGAGCAAAAGTGGTCCACATGCTTATATGGTCCATATTGTTGAGACAAAAAGTGAACACACTTTGCCCCTGCGTTGATTGGTACATATACCTTCTCAACACACCCCCGCAATTAAGGCAGGGAGACAAAGTAATGCGAGTGGTTTGCAACGCAGGCCCTTCACGGTGCTGACTCCGGCTCTGGCCCTACTCGGCGCTGGCCTCATGCTCTGACCCTTACTCGGCTCTGGTCACTCACCCAACCAGCAGTTCCTTCGCGAACATGCTGATGCGCTGAAAGCGACCCGGGCTCATAACCTGTTGAGACAAAAAGTGAACACACTTTGCCCCTGCGTTGATTGGTACATATACCTTCTCAACACATATACTTATAAAGTACGTTATAGGCTTTTTGCGCGTTACGTTATTAAGACATTACGCGCTGTTGTTGCGAAGGCGGGGTATGGTAAGGAAGTGGCCCGCTTACTGGTGAAAAACGTTAAGTAGGTTTACCTACTATGGTAAAGTACGCGAGTTCCAGCACAGACCTTTTTTGTTGCGGTAGAACGTAATTTCATGTATTCTGCTATCGTGTTGTGTTGTTGGTGCTGTGCTCCCAGAAGCAGCAGCAGGGTCTATTTTACATGACGTATCACCATCACGTGATACACGTGATCCGCTTCTCCTCATAACCGTCACATTTTTGCCCCTTAGGGCAAGCGGTACCTAACCTTGTCAGCCTTCCCCAGCTCTGCCCATTAGGAGTAACTTCCGTCCTTTGCCCCTAGGGGCAGCCTTCATCCTTTGCTCCCGGGGGCAGCTACCGTTTTCGCCTCTGGGGGCATCCTAACCCTACCCTATCAGTACAGTTTAAGGCTATAGTATACTCTATTTTCATACACAGATCTAATGCACGAGTATACACAGATCTGATGCACGAGTATCTCGCGTCTAAACCACAATGCATCGTCACCGTGACACCCGTGCTAAGCTCGTTAAAGACGCAGATCCGAGGCGACACCCCTGCTAAGTGTCAAGGCGCTGATCCGAAGGATTGCGCCAAGAGCCGCTTGGCGCTGATTGACCGCACGGATGCCGGGTGCCGTTATCGAACCCGGCGCCTGTAGAGAAAACCCGAGACCGCCGTTCCGCTCCTTGAGCTACGTCCTGTCAATTACCTGAGCCTGTATTGCCAGCCGTATGTAGTGAATTATACCCTGATACAAGAACCTATCTCCCCTGCGAGCCCGCTCGTGACATTAAGGACTGACCATGGGACTCTACTTTTGCTGGACATCACAGTAAGCGTATGGCAAGCAGATTTGGCTCTAAGCTTACGGCTCATCGTTGGGCTGAGCGCTGGAACGACAGGTACCACAAGTGGCCGCAGCTCGGAGCTGTTACGGGCGACTCAAATACGCCTTACCAATCGGGCAGACTTTCCAACCCTTGACGTCTCATGTTGCGGAGCAAAAGATCAACCCTTTGCTCCTTTATGCAGAAGCTATCTTAACCGTCACATCTCATAACATCAAACAAGGTACCCTAGCGCCTGCCAGCGTCTACTTTAGGAAAACGACGGCACCTTTTCAGCAACCTAAATTAAGCAAAATCATTGATCGGAATCATGCCCGTGTTCTTGCACTGTCATGCGGGGAACATTAGATCGATCGAATCCATCGTACATGGGGACCCCGGAGCTACACCCACGCGATCATCGTCTTGCGCGCAGACCACGCACCATCGCGCATAACTTCGATCAACGCTCGCCGACGAACCAATAGTTCATTCATCGATCCAAAAGGCAGGAGATGAGGCCCTGAACGGTATCGATCTACAAATGACACGACGTCCTTTGCACATCCGAATTCAGCCGCGCCATGTCTTACTAGTCTATCTGCTTGCTCCCTCTTCCGCGGCTCGCCGCTGTGTCTTCTCTTAAAGGTAATGGGCTGTCTGAAGTGTCGGTCGCGCCGAATTCTGACATTCGATTTTGACCTGTCTTCGCTCGGGTGTATACCCTTTTCATTGGTCCAGTCACCCCGTACGCTTGTTTCTCTGTTGATCCCTTTCATTGGTGCGCAAAGGAGGATATCAAGGCTGAGCATACTGCCCGTTTCCTTACCTAACTTGCACATTTCCACAAACGCTTCTGAGAGTTGTGCCGTCACTATCGTGTTGCAGTATATGCGTCGTTGACTAGTAGGTCTGAAGTCATCGGTCCAGCATGGGCGACACAGGTGTATACCTCGCTCGCAGCCCAAACCTATGCAAACAGAATAGTCCGGCCGTGTCTTTCTCCACCTCAAGCGTTTCTCTCCAGCTCCAAACCCTCGATATGGACAGTTCCAAATCAGCCGCTCGAAAACCTCCCCGAATTGACGGCGTCAGCTCGTCGAACTGTCACGAGAAGTATGGTGGAACTACGGAGGAAGAAACACCATTCTGGGCACCTGCTCACGAGCGCTTCTCAACTTGCGAGATGAGCGCATACGATCTGGCAGCACCGCCTCCCACAGTCTCCTACTCAAACGCCGAATACCTCGCTGACCGCCTCTTCTCGGCAGAGCACCTCAATCTCATCCTGAAGAACCCTGTGTATTTTCACCAATTCCGGAGTTTCCTGAACAGTTATCGACCTCAGTCAGTACCAACCCTTGTCCAGTACCTGGACTCCCAGAAAGCACTCACCGCCATCCGATACGCAAACTCCCTGGCAGACCAGATATCTCTGTTATCTTGCCGATCTAGTTCCAGGAGTGAGGCGGCAGTGGTGGACGTCAAGTTTGAAAAATTATTCCGGCGCTCGTTTGACAAACTGGTCAGCGATGCTTTACCGGCGTACATCACGTACAGACTAGTAGATGTTGTGACGGATTGTTTGATCAGGGAGATTACAGGTACCAGCTCGCCGATGATGCGAGACTTGGTGCAAGGATTGGCAGAGGTGTATTGTCTTTCAGATCCCTCGTTGCCGGATAACCCGATCGTGTTTGCGTCAGAAGGTCTGTTAAATTTCAGTTCTGTCAGAATGCACTCATTTACATAACGTAACTTGAGCTATTTGCAGCGAAGAGACGAGAAGTATTTGCTCTTTTATCCCATCTTATCTGGAAGTCGTTGCAAATCGATAATGAAGTGTACGGCTTCTCGACCAGTAAAAACACGCCACAGTATCAAGTTGAACAGCAAAATTGGGATAGGAATAACTATAGCTACCATTCAGGGCTAGAATTAGAATTAGACATTGACTAGATTTAGGATTCTACAATACCACCCAATACGGACAAGATTATGTGATTGGGAAAAACTGTCGCTTCCTACAAGGACCGAAGACTCAAAAGCATGCCGTAAAACGCATCGCCGAAGCGGTCTCCAAGGGGCAGGAAATCAGTGAAATTCTACTCAATTAGTAAGATCGCGTCAATCTGTACTGTGCAGCTTGAACTGACTCATAGTCACAGTCGTCGCGATGGCAGTCCGTTCTTGAATCTTGTAATGACAGCACCACTTATGGACCACCGTGGTGCCGCTCGATATTTCATTGGTTGTCAAATCGACATCAGTCATCTAATGGAAGGGGGCAGAGGCCTTGAATCGTTTGAACAACTCCTCAACGATCAGGAGATGGTCATGAAGCCGGTTTCGGAACCTCTTATTCGCCAGTCACCGCTCGAGGTCTTGAAGGAGCTAAGCATACTACTCAATGATGAAGAATTAGAAATCGTAAAACATCGGAATCGGGTTCGAAGGAACTCTATTGAGTCAAACTGCAACACTAGCACGCGTGCTGTTCGCACTCCGATCCCTCGGATATTGGTAGGCATGGACACCACGTTCAATTCCGCGTATCTACCCTCGAGACAATTTGGTCGGTCGGGCAGGTTACCCGGAGTATACCAGAACGTAAGTCTCGCTGTTCTTTCCCAGTTGAAGAACCATCTCTAAACATCACCACAGTACATACTGGTTCGGCCTTTTCCGTCGCTTCGGATTATTTTCACTTCAGAATCACTCCGCATCCCCGGGCTCTCTCAGTCCCGTCTAATGGACCGAATTGGCGGCCCCTTGCACGTCCGCGAAAGTCTCCTCGACGCCTTCGCATCTGGCGTCGGTGTCACCGCCAAGATCTCTTGGCTAACCCAACCCATAAACCGAACGCCCTCATATACGCAACTCAACTCCCGCTACAACCGGAACTCGGACGCCTCAGACAGCATATCCGACTCCGAGATCATCGAAGGCAAGCCCCGCTGGATTCACTGCACCCCGCTCCTGGGCTCCGACTCTAAGCCCGGCGTCTTCATGATCGTCATGGTGAACAAGGAAGTTGCGGGAGCGTTAAATCCAGTGGGTCCCGTGCCGGCGAGTAGGCCCATGCGGTCGATGGATAATATGCGCGATGCGTGGTCGCAGCGCGCAGCGGGCGTTGGGACCACAAGCAGAAAGCTCAGCTCTGCAAATCTGTATGCCGATTATCTGAGAAGTCAGGGGCAAAAGGTAGCATCACCATCGATCGACAGCAGGAGTCTGGTGGATGAGTAGAGCATCAAGGACAGCAATGATTGCGTCAAGGGCAGACTTGCTAACAGTCAAGTTACTTAGTTAGTTAGTCCGCAAGGCCTTGGATTGACTGAGTTGACTAAGTTTAGACTATTTTAAGATTGTTTAAGGTAGTATTATTATTATTGTTGAGAATATCTGAGTTCAGTCCAGGGTAGAAGGTGCTTGGGAGTCGCATGATATGCTGGTGTGGCAGGCACCACAGATGTCAATGAGCAAGCTGAGCGAGCTCAGCCAATTGGCTTGCTCAGCCAATTGAGCGGAGGCCAGCAGCTCGCTCGGCTCGCTCGGATTGGCTGAAACAGGGCTGTCAGCTCGCTCGGCTTGATGGGCTCAGTCCCGATTAGGAAAGTTATATAGAAACCTTGGTGTTGAGTTTCTCAGCTAATATCCCACTTATGTACACCGTATTTCGCGTCCATCTCCTCATCGCTGATAACCCCCTTTACAGGCACCTCACCACTGCCAAATCCAGCTCTTATCCATCGTCGATCGCACTGTATTGCTGCTAGAAGTTGCGGAGAAATGCTGCGCCGACGGGGCTCGAGGAGGTCACCCAGCTCGCTGAATAAGCGCTCACACTCACAGCTTGAGCCTGGGATTGATAGCATGTCGATAGCAAATTTGCTAAGGCTAGGGTGGCGATCGCGGAGTTCTACCCAGTATTTTATAGGGTCGACGCCCTCGCCAGCGATCGGTTCGCTGCGTTTCCAAGCCTCATATTCATCTTCCTCGTTCTCCGTAAGCCCTGCAGGCTCAATAAAGTTGTTGATAAAGTTGCCGCGATTTCTGGAGCATTAACGCGTGTTCTTTTTGCTGGCATTATAGCAACGGCGAGGTAGATAGTAGCTGCAAATAGAGACGCGTTGATGGAGTATAGATGAGTGTGGTGGGTGATAAGTAGTAAGTGAAGTGTCGCAAAAGGAGAATATTGTTGCCAGGCGGTTAGCCGGAAATTTAGTAGCTTATTTGCTAGAAATATAGCAAAAAAGAGTGTATTTTATGTTATAACTAGGTTTCGAACTTACGCACTACACCTAAAAATCATCGTGAGATTGCCCCTCCACCAAGTCCTTCAGCCCCAAGTTTCCAACCGCCCCATCTAACCAAGCTAAGCAAGCTGACTGAGCGAGCGCCTATCCCTAAGCTCGCTCGGCTTGCAAGCGCGCATTGCGCGCTCAGCTCATTCGGCTTGGTCAAAACGTCCAAGCCGAGCGAGCTGAGCGAGCCGGCTCGCTCGTTGACAAGTATGATTGAGTGATTACACGTGGGCATGACAAGCTCTCCTACACGACTACACGTTTTGGTTTCTCAAGACAAAGGGGCAATGCTGAAGTCTGTAGAAAGCTATAAGAAAGGGCAGAACCATCTTCAATGTCACTTGTCATTCACATCCTTCTCAGACACTCAGAAGCTCAACTCTTCCCAAACGCTCACTTTCACAATCCTCATCACTACCTTATCAAGATGCGCTTCTCTTCGCTTGTTCCTGCCTTGTGCTTTGCTGTCGTTGCTCAATGCTATGTTGCATCAGAAGCAGCTACAGCAGACAAAAACGGTTGCATTACCGTCGAGCAAATCGAAGCAGCCCATGGTGGGCTGCTATACCTTTCCGAACATCACGATTCCCCTCCCAAGAGAATTCCCCGACCTCAAGGACTTTCGCGGCAAGGAGTCCAAAGAATGCGTCCAAGAGAGCGTTTCGCACGCTGCCGCAGATGCCATGGTCAGGGTCAGCAAGGAATATGGTTTTGAAAGCAAATACGCCGAGCTCGTGGGACGTTCCCCTGACCACCTCTTCAAACGGGCCCGCACCTGTCCGGAAATTCGGGATGACTCTATAAAAAGGGCACAGAGTACTTGGAGCTGTCGATCTGCTCCGCATTTTGACAAGTGTAAAGCTTGCACCGGCCTCACAACCGTTGGCTTCATTTCGGGCATGGGAGTCTGTTTTGCGAAGAAGTTGGAAGAGACGGTCCCTTGCTGCGTACTTGCGGCGACTGTGTTTGTCGGCACATATGCAAACGTTTGCCTGACTAAATAAATCTCAAGAGTAGATTGGGGGGCTTTAGGCAAGAAGCCAACGTGTGGTTGGATAGAATTGCAGATACTCTGTTGTTGGAAATATTAGGTTAATGTAACGGTACTTTAGGAGAGGCACCTCATTAAATTATATTCGCTTCGCTCGGATCTCCGTCAGAGCCACATCTGATGAGTATCTACGTGATGAAGCTTTATCTGAAGCCGATTTTCTCTCTTAGTAAGGATACTAACTACGGCTGTGTTATTACGCAAAAGCTATGGTGTGAAATTAAGCTTAAACTTGGCGTTCTTGAACGTGTGTTGCCCCCACTGCATCTCAGCCCCTGCAAGAGAAAGAGAGCCATTAGCTCTGCTTCTGTAGTTGACATCGTGACTGAGCGTTGCACCGTAATTTTCCGGTCAATCAGCATCCCGTATAGCTTAAACATGAAGCATGCGAGCTTCTGCGCGTCTCGAGAGTGTCGGAAAAGGCAGCATCAGAGGCACCAAAGAACAACGGTTCTGCTGCTGACTCGATTGCTTCGCCCTATGTATATACGACGCACTCTTTGTTCGAAATGCTGTAGCGCAGATAGCGTAGTACTGAGTACCAATCAGGTACCCCCAAACGTGATTGGCGGCAGCGAGGTACTTCCGGCTTGGATTCTGAAGATGCTGTGTGAGCACTGAGTGCGCTTTCGCAAGGTTCAGATAGTTCTCCAGGGCACGAAGGTAGGCATCTATCGCGGACAGCTCGCTATACTCGGGGTGTAGGAGACGCAGATAGGTCTCACGCGAGCCGGCAGGGGATACCGACATTCTTCATCTCCCTACTATCATTTTACTCCTTCAGACGGAAGAAATTCAACTATGCTGACTTCTGGCCCATTACCGTCCGTGCGCATGAAATGAGCCGGGTCGTGTTTTGAGCCACCCAACAACATCAGAATATCACAAAGATAAGGCTGTAGAGCCACCCACAATAGCTATTATCACGAGATTTTGTGGTGTTGTAGTAATTATATCATTGCGATGAACTTGCGCTACTTATATTTACTCGGTACCTTAGTGGTGCGGCCCTGGCGGGTGGTTTGAGTCGGGATATTGTGGTTTTCGAAATACCTTGAGCCGCCTGGATCTGGTTAGCTTGGTGCCCAAGAACATCAACTCCCATAGTAATTTGTTAGTAAATTAATGCAGCAGCCGTTTCCCACCTCCAGAAGCCCATGAAGCTAGTCCTGTACTCTAAATCGTTCGTGTATAGCGTTTTGTTTGTGTGGAGCTTGTTGCGAGCTCAATCTAGCTGCTGTTGGGATGCCGCCCAAGCGCCAGCGTAAGCCGAAGCAGCCATTCGATCAAGGCGTTAACCCGTCCTCCCAGAAGCGTAGAGCGCCAGCAACTAGACAAAATCCTACCCATTTAACGCCTAAACGTGTCCGCCGTGAGGCGCTGCCGTCGCCTCCAGCGACTGCCCCGCCGCGCCGTCAAAGCCCGTTGTCCGAGCCTGAGCTGCAAGCCACCCAAACAGCTGCCTCCGCGCAAGCTGAAGATATCGTTGGCGAGGATGAGGATACTTTCGAGGATGGAGATGGCGATCCGCTGCCTGAGGATGAGGATGAGATCGCTGCTAAGGGCGCTGCCGGTAGTGTTGAGGATGAGGGAGAGCCAGCGTACCGACGTCAAGAAGGCACTCCATGGCTGCCTCGCTCATCGCAAGCGCTAGAGGATGAGGTTAATCCTGTACTGCGCGTTAGGTGGAGGGCTTGCCTTGGTGGTGATATGGAGAAACACTTTATTCCTGAAGCTGCCGATAGCGAGCACGGCGTACGGCTGTACTCGCTGCATTTCGACGACCTATGGCAGTGGGTAGATGACGTTGTTGCAGAATTACGGCCAAAAAGAGCGAAGATCTCATCTGTTTGCACTGTTGTTTACCCAGCTAAGCAGGCCAAACGCGAGCGCGCGATAAAGCGATTGCGGCGAGGTGTTGATGCAACGTGGAATAGCTTTCAGCGCCTTGTTGTAGAGGTTGATAACTATGTCAGCGAGCCAGTAAACGTCGATTTCGAGCTCATCTTGGCTGAAATTCCAGGGGAGCAGCAGCCGTTGCCAACGGTTGTCGACGGTCCTCGTCGACGCACCGCAACGGTGATTCAAGAGGAGGGGCTTGCTGGTGTAATAGCAGCTGAACAAGCAGGTAGCGGGCATGCTATTGCTATCCGGGATAGATGGCGCTGTACAGATACCCATTGCGAGAACTATCCTTATTGCTGCTGGATGGCGCCAACAGCGAGGCAGCCAGCGCGCTTCGAAGATCACCTCTTTGTCAACGGCAACATTATCTCCATGTGGGCAAGAGCAATTACAGCGAGAAGGGCAACGTACGATGAGCCATCTGATGATGTACGGCTTGCAATTTTGAGAGCAAAGGACCTGCGGGTGCATGAGAAAACGCGCAAGTTGCGGGCGGCTGGAGATGGCGACGATGATATCAAAAGCTTAACAAAACTGCTCATCGTTGGACAGCTTGAGCGGATGAACAGGCAACCTCAACAGGAGTCTAACTTGCAGGCAGCTGCACCAACGATAACAAGAGCTGAGGTATCTAGTGCATCTCAGTGGGCGCCTATCCGATATGATCATGAGCAGGAGATTAACGAGCATACTAGTAATTTCTTTAACTACCTTAAGTTAAAATTTCCTACAGTTGGAGAGGACATTAACGAGCTTTATAAGACTCTTGTTATTGACGGAGCTATGGATATCAACCTCTTGATGCAGCCATCTGGTGATATCTTGAAGTTGTGGACGCAGCATTTCAAGCAGCCTCCTGGCTGGTTTTTCACGCTACAAAACACTGCAAAAGAATGGCAAGCTGGGTACCAGGGTCTCACAGATCGTAACTGGAGACGAGTCGAACGTTGTAAGAAAAGAGAAGAGATTGCGCGCAAGAAATTGGTGGTTGAACCGTCTAGCAGTGTTGTGGAGGATGATGGCGAGAATGCTTGAAGCTTAGTGGCCTGAGCGTTTTTGGTGACAGCGGCCCGTGCCCGCTATAGTGTTGAGGTTTTTCAGGCGTTTCAAATGCGCTGCAACAATAGTCTATTTGGATAGCCCTATGTACAACACTACAACGTTATGCGATTATAACAGGTTAACTTCCTAAGATAGTTCTATATGTATAGAAATAGCTCTTATTTTTTTAGAATTATTAAATCGCTTTTGTGGGTTGCGCATTAAGGTGTAATCGTTCGCATTTGTATGGTATCATCTACCTATAGAAACGTACTGTGGCATCCATTTAAAAGCACAATTAATAGGGATAGCCACACCTATGGAACCAGCTTCTGCAGTTAATATTACAGCACACCAGCTGCGCTGCATACTCAAGAAAGACCCCAAAGTCAATGAAGTTCTCCGCTTGCGCTGAATTCCTTTTCATCCACCCCTTGAGCTGCTTAAAGCTCTTCTCGATGGGGTTGAAATCTGGTGAGTATGGCGGCAGATACTCAAGGAGTACTCCAGCACTTTGGCAAAGCACCCGTACACGCTCTGATCGATGGATGGAGGCGTTATCAAGCACGATTACTGAGGCTGGCCCTGGGTGAGGATTGCAGAACGGCAGCACTTGAAACTCTAAGAAGTCTTCTAGGATCTCAGATGTAATCGCGCCTTGAAAGATCTTATAGCTTATGTAGCCATCTATCGTCATGGCTGGCAGCAGCGACCACCGTTCTGATCGCCTGAAGCTGTGTGATAGCTCCACCGGCTCCCCGATTGGAGACCAGCCATACTTGCGGTCGCCCGTACGCTCATTGCAGGCGCTCTCGTCCAACGCAACGATCTGCTCCGCCTTATAGTGTTGCGCCATCCTGGCAAGATAGAGGCGGCGGAGTGGCTCACTCTGCTCCTTTGCCCGCTTTGTTGCAAGCTTGCGAGACCATCTCATCTTCTCTAGCTCTCGGTAAACGCTCGCAAGGCTTATCCTAACGTCGTACTCGTCGTACAAGAAGTCCCTCATCTCATCCATGTATGCGCCCGGTGAGCCATTGAGGTATGCCTGAAGGCCTTCGCGCTGAGCTTGCCGGAGTATAGATGGCCGCCCAAGTCGAACGCAGCGCGGCGGATAAGGCACGCCCCAAAACTCTAAGCTCAACCTCAGCTTTGCTACTGTGTTACGGCTCGCACCTGTAGCTCTAGAGATGGCTCGATCACTTTCGCAGGCAGCAATTCGGTCGAGGATAGCCTGGAGAACAGCGGGCTGCAAGCGGTGGCCGGTGCCTGGCATCGCGATGAGATGGGCTCGAGAAAATTGCAACACCAAAAACGCGAGTCAGTAGAGGCGATCGCAGCAAACAATGAACTTCAAATACGTTGTGGGTGTTAGAAAGCGTGGCTGCATCGATTTACTAACAAATTACTATAGGAGTTGATGTTCTTGGCCACCAAGCCAACCAGATCCAGGTGGCTCAAGGTATTTCGAGAAACACCCATAATAGATGTAGCCACCTCGGCTTGTACACGAGGTGCACCATCACCAACACCTTTTTAACGCTTCTGCTTTTAAGTAGAGCTTTGTGAGGCCTTACGCTTGCCGTTTTAGGGTTGTTGTATAGCTTTTTGAGAGTCGCGAGCTGCTTTTCGACGCTCTTTTTCAGCCTTCTCAGCAGCCCGCTCCTTCTCCCGCACCTCCTTGAGTCTCTCTTTCTTAACACGCTTTTGCTCGGCCTCCTAAAGCTTGTAGAGTTGAGATTGTTCCTTTAGGTATCTTGCCTCTGCTTTTTGTACTTCTTTAAGTTATTGTTGTTGTTGTCGAGCCGCTTTATCGTCCCGAGCCTAACGGACCTTCTTAGGAGACTAGAAGACGGCTCCACTATAATACTCATGAGGCTTGTTAAGCTGTAGGGTGTAGGACTTCTTTTCCCGTCTCTTTTTCATGCCCATAGCAGCCCTCAGCCCCTTTACTTCCCCCCTAAGCACAGTCCGCAACAATCAATTAAGTGGGTCCTAGAAGGTTCAGATTGGATTGATTGATTACCGCTTTAAGCCTAGTAGTTACCTATAGGAGTTTAAGCCCTACCTAGATAGGTAAGTGGGTCTAGGAGAGTGACCGGATTGAATTGATTGTTGCGGAGTCTACCCCTAAGGAGGCTTGCTTAGGCAGAGATGTGATAGAGACTTCGGCGAAGCTTTTTAACGTCCTTATTGCTTTGATCTTTCACTGTACGTCGTATAATAGACTCTAATTTAAGCTAATCGTCTCTAGAGAGGCAGGAAGATGAGCTCTTATCTAAATTGTAGCCCGCCTTGGCGAATCTTTGAAGTATAACCTTAGCATTAGGGGGGTGAATACTTGTAGCTTTAAAGGACTTTGTAATCGTTTAAGGCCTAAAAGCAGTACACTAGGCGTTCTAAAAGAGGTGAAAGAAGTCTCCTTTTACTATTAAGAGTAGCCCCTAGCTGTCCTAAAGGTACTTCGTGAGCTTATTTGAGTAGGCGTCCGAGAGAGGCTTAAACAACGATACATCTAGGGGTTAAAGCGTGTGGGTAGCGTAAGGGGGAAAGACGGCGAGGAGTATCTTGTTGTCGTTGCAGAAATTGATAAAGTCTATAGTAACATAAGATCTATAGCTATTAAGGATAAGTAATTGGTACCTAGTGACTCCTAAACGCCTCGTCTCCCTTATAAACACCTCCTTGAGCTAGGCAAGCCCTATATCGTTGTTCGTCCAGCCCGAAGGAGACGAGGATACGAAGACGGAGTGCTTTCTAGCTTTAATAGCATCGACCTATAATAATTGTAGGGTCCCGGCGTCCGATTAGAAGATGAGGGATAGACTTAAAGCTGTACTATCGGCGCAAACGCAAGCTAACACAGTAATCTATTAAGTATTGCTATCTTAAAGGCATGCCCTAACCCCCTTTTAATTATATAACACCTTGTCGAACACGCGTTTTAATCGCCTAAGGCTTCTAATTTGAAACCCCTTTTCATCTATATTGTAGATCTGAGTAGGTTGCACCCTATACTCTATTATTTTGGCATGCAGAAGCTTAAAGTACAAGCTGTATTTAGCCCCTAAATTAGCTTTGTGACGTTTGCGGTCTATCCTAGAGGTGTAGCGCGATGTGAGTTCAGATAGGTGCCTAGCCATAAACCGAGTAACCTAGGTTTCTGAGACGTCCTTTCCAGCCAAAGATAACGCGAAATTGCGTATCATTGTCCGCGTAGGTGGCAAACGTCGCTCGGAGAGCCCCTTAATGTACTGTACAAGCTCCTTCTCCTGTTGTAGGTGTAGCGCGTTATACGCAACGCTGTGCGGCCTTGTTCGACCTTAGTGTCTTTGGGCGAGCGTAACCTGGCTTATATTATACTTTTTTGCAACTTCGCGATAACTAAACGATGCGCCTTCTTCACGCGAATCGATATCTTCAATCGCTTTCTGAATCGGGTCTATGGTGGTGGAGTTATGATGCGTTTTGTATGGGTGGTTGGAGTTGAGGGGTGGCTCAACACGACCCGGCTCATTTCATGCGCACGGACGGTAAGGGCTAGGTTCTGACATCTAACGCCGACAGTGACGTCTTGCGCCCAGCTAAGCGCCGCGCACACAGCCCTCCGCCCCGTAGTTACACTAACGTTGGAAGCAGTGCTTCCCTCAGTGCGTGACCAATTATGTCAAGAACCAGAGGCATCATCGTATCATGGCCCTGCAGATGATTGGCGCTGTTCAGTGCGGGGTAGGCTGAGCTCGGAAAACATGATAACGTGTCCGTGCGCGTGATGCGCGGGGAACACCAAAACACGTCAAACCCCTTCACCTTCAACACACGTTAACTCCACCAATATAGACCCAATTCAAGCTGCGATTGAAGATATTGAAAATCTAGAGCCAGGAGAAAAGTTCTCGTATACTAAAATTGCTGCTAAGCATGGTGTTGTGAGATCTACGTTGACCCGAAGGCACTAGGGCCAGACAAGCTCAGAAAGAGACAAGAACTTCAACCAGCAGAAACTCAACCCACAACAAGAGCTAGAGCTTGTGAGATATATCGAAAAGCTCACAAAGCGAGGCATCCCTCCTACACGAGAGATGATTAGGAATTTCTCATCAGAAGTAGCCCATCAGCAGCTCAGCGAGAGCTGGGTTACTCGCTTCATCAACCGACACGAGATCTGTAACTGCGTGAGCAGTGTCGGGTGGAGGCTGTGGATCAACGATGGTATTGCTATCTGTTGTCGTGTTGTGATGTTTGTGTACAAGAGCTCTCGGCTCAGAGGTAAGTACACTTGCTCACCAGGCAGTGCCTGCTACAATAGGATATCATGTGACCCTAGTCACGTGGTTACATAAGTCAGTAGGATTGCGTAAGATTCCGTTTAGGCCCGTTGTATTACGTACAGAACCCTACCCCTACTATTCCAAACCAGCACCGGCATAGAAGCTACCCTAGCTTTTATTACGAGTACTAGAATTGGAACAAGAAAATGGCACCTAGGGCAACCACCAGAAATACAGACAGCACAGTCCGCAACAATCAATTAAGTGGGTCCTAGAAGGTTCAGATTGGATTGATTGATTACCGCTTTAAGCCTAGTAGTTACCTATAGGAGTTTAAGCCCTACCTAGATAGGTAAGTGGGTCTAGGAGAGTGACCGGATTGAATTGATTGTTGCGGAGTCTAACAGACAGTCACTGTATAACACTACCTTAGAGAGAGCTACTCTATAAAACTAACAAAACTGTATTTCTTACTATAAGAGCCCGCTGCTACATCTCTTTCTATCTACCACACTGCTCTTTAGCACTAGCGCCTACTCCAGATCTACTCTAGAATAGGAGCACGCAAAACATCCTCCAAACTGTACTACCCCAAAGAAACTACTCATAGAAAACACCTATATAGAACGGCCTAGGCCAAAGTCTTGCATAGTCTCTGACTGAAAAGGACTCTAAATGGAATAATAATAATAATAATAATACGGTTGTGGGCACACCTGGGGGGTGCCAAGCCTTCCTGTGATCCGATTGGCTCTCTCAGATGCCGGGTCGCGCTAGTCTAACCCAGCGTCTGTACGCTCTCATCTTCAACAGTGCTATTATCTGACACATCTTCTCCCTTATTACGTCTAGTATCTTAGACTAGACAAAGGCAATCTTAGCCTTATTATCGCCCTAATTATTAGGCGTCTTATTATTATTATTATATTTCCATTAGAGTCCTGTATCAGTCGGTGACTATGTAGGACTTTGGCTAAGCCGTTCTATGTATGATGGTCGTTGTGGAGTTTCTATGGGTCTTGTACAATTTGGGTGGTGTTTTGCGTACTCCAATTTCAGAGCTAGTCTTCCATTGGCGCGGGTGCTAAAGAGCAGTGTGGTGAACAGAAAGAGATGTAACAGCGAGCTCTTTGCGAAAAGAAATATTGTTTGTAGTTTTATACAGTGTCTGTCTGTTGTTTTGTGTAGGCGTCTGTATATAGGGATCTACAAGAGAGATAATAGATCTATACATCTAGTGCCTGGTCGGTGTTTTGCTCGTGAGTGTGCTGGTGACAGCAGGTGCTGGAGCGGTTCGGTATATGGGGTCGGTATATCGAGTTGGTTTAGGGCGTTCGGGTATAGGTAGCATCTAGATATATAGGCCTATTACTTTGCAGCAATAGAGATATATACCTAAGGAAGAGCCGTTGCTCTGTCGGTTTCGTAGAGGGTGCCTTCGATCGAACATCTAAAATCAGTTGGCGCACGGGCCATTTGCAGAGATTTCTCTCAACTAAGGCCAGGTAACAACTCTGTCAAAGTTGCAGCGGCCAGCGCGCCCGCCACAACGCCTGCACGCAAAAGCAGACGTTGGAAACTGATTCTAGGAAGGCATTTCAATGGAATTGAGATGAAAAAAGGGTAATCCAGGACCTTTTTGTCATCTCGAAAAGTTGGTGTTCGATGTATTAGGCGTCTTAGAGAAGCTTTAGGGGAGAAGTAACTCGCTCTTACTAAGCTATAGTAAGAAGAAGTTTACTATATTTGTTGGAAGGTCTATAGCACTAGTGCTGAAAGGAAATAACGATAACTAGGAATGCATTCTGTTCGGTGATGGTGATTTATTTATTACGAACACAGCTGCTACGAAGGTATACCTAAGCTCTGCGCAAGGTGGGCCGAAGTCGGGCCGAAGTGTCCAGCAGCCGACGTCTCTACCGATACTCACGATCCGACAATATTAAAATCTTTCTAGATAAAGTTAAAGAACTTAACGTAGTTCTTATTAGAACAAGGTCCCTCTAGTAGTATGACTACTATGGATAACCGAGTGGGAGGGGGGACAAGGCGGGGTGGCTGCAACGTATTGTATTGACTGTTCTTGTCAGATAGCAGGGTTACTCGACGTTGGCAGCAACCAATCAGCGTAGAGAGGGTCAGTGCGCCCCTCAAGAGGGCCACAAGCGCGGACACACGATAGACAGAACACAATACACACAATCATCAACATCCATCACTTTTGTGCAATATCTCATTATATCTGACAATTAAGAGTCTCACTGCCTCAATAACGAGCGATAAAACCACGAAAATGGCAACAATCCAGACCCAACGGGACGCGACGGTCATCCTCACCGACTCAAGCAACTGGATCCCTTGGTACCGCCAACTTAAGCTGAAATGCCAGTCGCAAGGCATTTGGCCACTGTTGGACCCCGAAGGAGTGCGACTCCAGCGCATCCAACCGGAGGCTCCGCTACCCCCAGACATTTCGCAGTATGAACCGTCAAGTAGCCCCTCAGCTGCCTCATCGCATACCACCCGAAACGCTAGAGGCAACACGCGAGGATCAGCACAAGACACTACAGAAATGTCGACAACAACCTCACGAATCCCCACTATACCAACGCGAGTGTCAGAACTCTCAGAGAAAGGACAAGAAGCGTATAAGGAGGATCGCGACGACCTACTAAAGCTGCGCCTTGAGTCATACAAAATACGGGAGAGGGACTATCAAGAAGAAAGCAACAAAATCTCAAAGATGGTCGAACACATCCTTACAACCGTAACACCCCATTTACAACTTAGCTGTTGCGCCGAGAACGGCACGCCGCGCGACTGGATAACCGCCCTCCAAGACACAGTTGGAGTGGATGAAGACGAGGAGAGAGCGCGAGCACGAGAGAGATACCAAGCCGCACTCAAGCCAATGCGTTCAACCACAAACTGGGAGACGTGGCTAAATGAATACGATCAGGCTGCAACTCGAGCTGAAACCCTTGAGGTGGCCGAGGTTATGCAAACACAAGCCGTAATAGACGACTTCCTAGGCTCCGTATCTAAAATGGCATCAACCTGGACCGCAGGGTTCCAAGGGCCAGGGTACGATAAGAAAGCCATGAATAGGAAAAGGATGATGAAACTCTTCCGTGAATATATGAGTCTTCAATATCCATCAAGAGGGAAGCCAAAGAGCGCCTTCGCGGTAGGAGACTTATACGCGGCGAGCGGTGAACCCGACTCGGACACACTGAGGGACGCCTCTAGTGTGGAATTAAGAGCGCCATCCAACCAAGGCCGGGGAAACCCTAGGCAATCAAACAAACGCAAGATGGATGGTCAAAGTACCAGAACCAAGCAGATCCCGGAGAGGAATTCAGCGAAAGCTGGAGACATATGTCCTGCCTGTGAACAGCGTCATGAGATATCTGACTGCTACTATGTGAACAAAGCCAAGGCACCTGAATGGTTCAAGCCAAATCGAGGCATCGCAAGATTAGTACAGTACAAACTTGAAAATGACACCAACTTACAGAGAACGATGCAGGAAATGTCCCCAGAGACTAAACGACCTCGATTCTCGACAACGTCACGATCGATTACACCTCATATCAAGACATCACAAACACCGGACGCAGTCATTGAATGACTAGATGCGACGCGAAATCTCAAGAAATGATGAGCGGCACGTACGAAACCGGTTTTCAGCGCAAGTCTACACGGGATAATTTGTAAATGACGAGTCTCCATATCTATTCCGGCTCTATTACCGGATAATCTGTAACGACGTCTCCAGAAATACACTATTTACACTCACCCGACCCCCGAGGGGACATCATTCGGGTCTCGGAGTACTCAAACCTGGGATAGCAAGGATACTCATCCCTAGCATCGTTAAGCTAGGGCACCTTCGGCAAAAAAGTGCCTACCAAATCCGAAGCGTCTACGAACCTAATTCTGACTTTCTTGTTTTTCCCCCCTATGTAT